TCACTTCACCGTTACATATTTTTTGTTCTAGCACTATAATTGCCTTTTTTTAAAAAAAAATAATGATAATAATCTTGATTTAACTTTGGCCAGTATGACAATAAGTTAGGTTGGGGGAAGCAAATTCGAGCAGATTTAGATTCAGCAATAGTACAAATTTAATTACACAAGTAGATGGAGTTCAATCAATCCCATTTGTCAAGTTTTAAGAATAAGATTTAGTGAAGCTGACAAAAAGATAAATAAAAGTCCTGACATCATTACCATATCATATGTTTTCATTAAAATATATCATTTTTTTTTATTTTGACCAAAACTTTTTTTCAATTTCTAATGAAAAAAAAAGAACATTTAATTTAATTGATAGAATTTATTAGTCCATTGATTTTTCTCAAGACTGATTACAGTCACCAGGACTGAAGAGTGGCACCCATATAAGTACTTTTTAAGCACTCAAAAAATATTTTTATTAACTTTCAAAAAAAAAATCTTAATTAGTTCAGTAATAGAAATTTTTTTTTTTATCGCTGAAAGTTCTTAATTTATGAACATAAAATCAATAAAATTCAAAAACATTTTCACAAACTTCACATAATCAGTTTCTGACACAGCAAAGAAAAAATCTCTTTTTAAAAAGATAGAAAATTACGCACTTTTTACGAACTCCAAATAAAATTTTAAAAAAATACCTTTAAGGGCTCTTAAAAAATGTTAATCAAAAATAAGCACCTTTAAGCACTTTCTCAAAACGCTATGTACCTTTGTAACAGCATGCAGGGTCCCCACCAAAATGTTTTAGGTCCCTATAACATGCCAGAATGTTTAAAAAAAAAAACTAAAAAATTTCACAAATATAAAATAAATTATTTTCAAAATATGCACATTTTGATTATCCCAAAAAACTCAAAACCATTTTTAAACAATGCAAAAAAAAAACAAAAAACACATTGATGCTAACCATAATAACTTCAAATAAAAAAATAATTTTCAAAACCATGGAAGTTAATTAAAATAATGAAATTAAATAAATATAAAGGTATAACAAACCAAAAGGTAAGAATTATTTTGTCAAATTAAACAGTTATTAAAACATCTTTCAATGCCAAAGTACCTGAAATTTTCACAAGTACCAAAGACTTTCATTGGAACGTAGAAAAATAGATTTTGGTTGCCTTTTTAATCTGATAACTACTGACTCTGATAACTGCCTTTCTGGTGATAAACTATTCAAAATATTGGTGTTTGCATGATAATTACTACTTGTACAAAAAAAGACAAAATGAAAAGCACACTTTACCCGGTAGAACATATTTTAGAAACTGTATAAGGCAATGTTATTTATTCCCTGCCCATGAATAAAGACGGTACTGGAGACATCTATTCCAGGGTTCGCCAAGTGGGCCCACTTTTAAGTAAATCTTGCTTTAAATTTAAAGCACATAAAAAGGAAAACCAATTAAGATTTGTGAATGAACTTACTTGGCACCCCCAATACAAGCCTCAGAGGACAAACAACACGGAATGCTTGAAGAGTTTTAACATCAAAGCCATCTTTCATGAGATTTGAAAAAGCAGTACTTATCACACTATTCAAAATAAAAATATTTTTTTGTTTGTGAGAATAAAATATAAAGAATGTAATCAAATGCGTGTCAAGAAGAATATATTTCTTAAATGAATACCCTTTACTCTATAACTTTATTAAGAATAATATAAATACAGCGAAACTCTTGCTATGAACACACCAGCGAAACGGAAGCCTCTCAATACGGAAATTTATTCAATTCCCTAGGAACCTTCTATGAATAAATCATTAGGTACATTCTCCGTGAAACGGACACATCTGTAAACCGGACGCAGACAGTCATCTTTGCCCTATAAAACGTTATTTTCTATTTCTTCAAACCGGACACTATTTTTTCTAAATTTGGAGAAAAAACTTTATTTGCTTTAAATTGAGGGGAAAAAATACGCAACTTTTCACACTTTTCAAAGCATGTAAATTTTTTGCTAAAATGATGTCTTAAATGCTTCTTTTCCCTCTGAAAAGTTCTTTCATTTTCATATAAATTCGAAGATTGTATTTACACAGAACAGTGGAAGAAAAAAGAGAACAGAAATATATTCTTTGAGGTGTTCATATAAATGAACACAGGGGTCTGTTTAGAAGAAATCTGGGTCCGTTAACGAACTCTTCACAAAACATCTTTTCATAAAAACAGACCTTTCACAAAATATTTTAACCAGGGTGCGTAGCCAAATCTTTGAATCAAAAATAAGCACTTTTTAAAAACTTTTCAAGCACTTTACAAAAATTTTCAAGCACTCAAAAAATTCATATTCAATCAATGATATTATTGAAAAACAAAAACTTTTTATAAACAGTTTTAGCGTTAAAAAAACCAAAAAGAAACGGGCGTAAATCGAAACAATCAGTATTTTCCCACATCACCGAGTGAATTCAACTTGACCGAGTGAATTCAACTCAGAACAAAAGTACCCTTACCCCCTACATCAAAAAAAGTGTTAGAAGTAAAATAAAATAAACAAGAACAAAATTTAAATAAATTTTTAAAAAAACATTTCATAAGGATCTGATATTCTCTATCCGAATTGGAGTACTCGGGTTTCGGTTTCAAGTGTGCGCGCATGCGCAAGTCATAACGTGGGTACGACATGAAGTCCGCGTGAATGATCACGTACCAAACTCCCCATTTTTCGTGAAATGCATGGGATCCACCAGATATCACTGAAGGGAAAAAAAATAATTATTCGGAGAAAAAAAACATTTTTAAAAACGCCAGCTGAAAAAAGCACCTTTAAAAGCTTTTAAAAACGAAATCCCCAAAAAAGCACCTTCAAGTACTTTTTACAAACGCTACGCACCCTGTTAACTTAAAAACGGACCCTTCAGAAAATAATTTATCTTTTAATCGGAATCTTCACAATATTCTCTAACTTCTCTATTGTTTTGTTAATCAAATAAACCCTTCTCAGGGGGGGGCGGGAAGAAAGACAGATGTGAACGAACTAAGTTTTGTCTTCGGCAGAAGCTTCTCCCATTATTCGTCCGAAATTAATATTCTGCATGTTACATCTCTAATTTAATAGCAGTAATTGCTATTTATTTTTGAAAATTTAATTTTTTTTAATTATAATTTTACAATGCTGTGCATATCTTGTATCTATTTACAATTAAAAAACTCATTGAAAAAGTTTTTTTGCAATAACAGGATCCCTATTTGCACAAATTCACAAAAGCAGGACCCTGGTTGAAAGAATATGACTCAACGTTTATTTTATAGTTACAAATTACGAGCAATTTTTTCACAATTTTACAAAAACAGGACCTTTTACAAAATGTGGACAGGCTCCTGCCTGTTAGATAATTAATTAGTTCTCCTACTTTACAGGTAAGCATTGATTTCTTTTGTTTTCTGTGTATCGCGAGAGGTTTACTTTCAAAAAGGTAACCATGTTTCCTATCAAGTGATGGGGGATGCAAACCTAATAATTGCAACAGACTGAGGACTAAAAGCTCCTATTCGGTATCATATGACTAACTTGAATATCTGTGTTAATAGAAAAACAATATTCATTTATCAGTAGCTACATCTAGAATTATGTAATTACATACTTTTTCATATATTCCTCCTGTATAGAAAAAAAATATTCTTTAAAGTTAAATTAAATATCCTTGGAGATTATTTAAATATATCTATATTGTAGAAAATATTTTAAAAACAATTTACAGTGTTAAGCTTCGTCATTAGGGTACCCTTCCCATAAACGGACAACTCTCGTAAACAGACAATTTTTTTGGTCCAAAGAGTGTCCACTAAATCCAGGTTTCACTGTATATATAAAGACATGTACTAGATTTAAAATAGAAAATTTTATGAAAATATTTAATTTAACAAAACAAAAAAAAAACTTCTTTTATTAATTTTCGGAGTTATTTTCATGATTGATATTTATAATTTTCTCATATACTAACTTAAGAGCATGACTATTGGTCTATCTGATAGAACATTATTACTTTTCTCACATTTTCAAGTCATGATTTAATACTTTATCTTGACTTGCATTTTACTGTTTGTAATGACTGGAGAAACAATGCATTGAGGCATCTTTATAATAAAGTAAAATATTTACCCTATAACTACAATAATAAAATCCAGAAGATTCCATGTGTTGCGAAGATAAGCACCAGAATGGAGCACCAGACCATACGCTATGATTTTCATCACACATTCAGCAGTGAATATCACCAAAAATATGTATTCTATTTTTTCCTATTAAAATAAAAATAAAAACAATTATTTTATCCATATTTCCTTTTAAAAAAATTCTTTTTTCATTCAAAGAGTTAAACATACCAAAAAAGCATTTGCACTGTTCGAATCACCATATGGAAAAGGTGTAAACACAGCAAGGGCTATACAATTGGCAAAAATTGTTAAAAGTATGAGAGCTTCAAAAGGCCTGGGGAAAGAAATAAGTTAAGAAAAAAACATTTATTCAATATGTACATAAACAAGGTTGACACTCAAATCTGGAGTAAAAAAAAGTATGATTTTAAAAAAATTATTACTAAGTATTTGGCAGGTTTCACAAATATAAACTGCAGACGGAAAGAAAAAGGCCAAAACTTCACATAACTCTCTAAATTAAAGTCTCTTGAAACACATTAAATTCATATAAATTTACATTTATTTGGCTTCAACTATTTTAAACTTATTATTAAAAAACAGGTTTAGATAATTTCATATCAAATCATTCAATAAGAAAAAAAAATTTTAGGTCAATTCAGATTTCTGTTATTTTGGGATATTTATTAAATCTGATAGACATGAAAAATCCAACTTTCATTTTTTTTTTCCTCAGCCATTTATTTACAAGAAAAGAAATTTCGAAAATAAACAAATTCAGTTTTTAAATTTCTAAGCAGTTGAGAACTAAATTTTATCTTCTAAATTTCATTTTAAAAATAGCCAACTTATTGACAAAAATTTAAATTATGATGTGTTTCTTTCCATAGAAATTATGTTTACACTAGACACTAAAAAAATAAATCTTATTTTGTGTGACAATTTTTTTTAGCACAAAACTTACATATTTTAATAAAACAAAAATTTTACTTTAAATTCAACAGATTAAAATAATAAAAATGGACCTTTACAATTCATAAGACATATTTGAAGTGGCCAATGTTAAAAGGTGTATGTTACAAATCTGTAGGAAAAAAACCAAAAGAAAAACTATGTCAATTGTAGAAAGATTGCTTTAATTTCATCTGAATTACTGGATTGCCTTTTTTAAGCAATCTAGAAAATGACTCGTATTTGATAATTGATATTCCAGAACCAACAAAAATTTTATCTTCATAAAAATGTTACATGCTAACTTTTAACATTAACATGTTGAATACCACACTAATTTCACACAGCTTGTCCGGACAAAATTATTTTCTCAGTATGTATTGCATTAATTTCTTCAAACCATTTTAGTAATGATAATAGTGTAAAAAAATTGAAAGCATTAAAAATTTACTGCAAATATGTGTTTCCAATAATCTTGGCCTCGCTGGTCACTGGTGACCCCCCGTGACGCTACGAACAATCTCAGTGACGGTCGCGCCGGTGACCCCCATGGCATTCAACGTGTTAACCATTTCATTTGACCAAATTGAGAAAAAAAAGATACATACTGAGTACAGTGAAACCTCATGTTGTGGACACTCTTGCAAAATGGACACCTCTCAATACCCCGTATTTTTGATTTCCCGTAAATCTACTCTAAATAAAGCGCTTATCTTGCAAAGCGAACACACCCGTAACGGGGCGTGAACGGTCATTTTTTGCCCTGAAACATTTTCTATCTCTTCAAATCAGACACTATTTTTTTCTAAATTTGAAAACAAACTTTTTCAGCTAGAAAAAAAAACATGCAACTTTTTACCATTTTTAAAGCATGTAGCTTTTTTGCCTTATCCATAACTGAAAATATTGTTAAGGTATTTCACTACTAAAGAATCGATCTTTCTCTTGTCACCTTGCCTTATACATTATCTAGAATTATGTATTTATATTAAACTTTTTAATGTATTCTTTTTTGTATAGAAAAAATATTATTTTAAAGTTTAAATAAATATCCTTGTAGAAAGTTATTGTAGAATATATAATTATTTATATATCATTGAAAATATTCTAAAAAGAATTGACAGAGTTAAACTTCTTTATTGAGGTAACCGTCTCGCAAATGGATAAATTTTTCGGCCTCAAAAGTGTCCGCTTAACCAAGGTTTCAGTGTATTTAAATTCGTCATGATTTCTTTTTTCAATTATTACTGAAAAAGAAATTTTTTATAATAAATTCTTTCCACATTAAAAAAAAAAAAAAAAAACAGAATTCTATTAAAAATCGTTAAATTGTAATGCAGTAAATTCACTTCTAATGAGACTTAGAATTAAAAAAGGATACTTCCATTCAACTACATTTATACAGAATTTACGTATTGGATTTTTGAGTGTAAAGAAGAAGAGTGCCCGCTCTGGTCTCTCAACCACTTTTGGTGGTTTCCTCTGTACCCTTCTCCTCTCTTGCTTCTCTTTGTCCATGGCAGTGGCACTCAAAGCCGCCTGCCAAGCACTTGAAAGTGGCTTCCCCTTCTCATCCCCCTCTTCTCCTGTCGGCTGACCCTCGACCGGCTCTGGTTTGGACGGAATGGCCAAAGAACTTTCGAGGGCGTTTTTATTTTCCAAGTTATTACTAAGTGCTGAAAAAAGAAATAAATAGTTATTGAATAGAATCCAATCAGATTTTCAAAGTAACACACTTAGATATCTAGCATACAGACTAAAAACAACATAGAGAGAACAACTAAGATATAACTATATTATTTGTTATTCTCTGTATATATAACTAATATATAGCACTTAGATATCTTGTACACAGACTAATAACACACAAAGAATAACAACTAATATATAACTATATTAGTTATTCTCTGTATACAGGGATCTGTCTAGGTTTTTCTGAGAGGTACCTATTTTGTGAAAATTTAGACATAATTTGTGAAAAATTAAAAGTTATATTAAAAAATCAACACAAAAATATGGATTTATAGCTTCTTAAGGGATACAAAAATAAAATTTTAGGAAAAAGTATTTTGCGAAACTACCATTTTTCCTAAAATTGAATTTGTGAAACTACCGTTTTTCCTAAAGTTGAATTTGTGAAGGTACCGCTAAACGGTAGTAAATTAGGCCTAGACAGATCCCTGGTATATATTACTATATATAACAACTAATATAGCACTTAGGTATCTTGTATACAGACTAATAACAACATACAGAGACATCAGAGGGCAAAATAAACGGTCGATCCTGAACACATAATTTAAGTAACAGCATTTCAATAAATTTCCTGCTACTTTTTTAAGCCAAACATGTATTTAGTCAAATAGTATTATTAATAAATGTGGAAATATTAAAAGTAATTTATAATATTATAAAAATTACTTTATTTCACCCTTGTTTCTTACTTTCTTCATTTTAGAAANCAATATAATGCATGGCAACTGTTGGTAGTTTTGAAGTTTATATATTTTCTTGGCAAACTTCAGTTTTTGACATTTTTGACGGGTTTTTGACGGTTTAAACCAGTATTATACCCTTGTCATGTCAAAAACCACTTTTTGACGTCAAAAACCCAACCCTGCCTAATTATGACCTACAGTAGACAGTTATCAAAAAATGTCTAAGAGATGAAGTGCAATAGATTATGTAAAAAGATAATATCCACCATACATCCAAAAGAGAATATTCTACTATATAAAAGATGCAGGTTTAAGGGGGGGGGGGAATCAACTTGTTCTAATCTGTTTTAAAACAAGCTGATTTAAATCAATCAACGAACCCTGATTAGATAGACATCCAGAATACAGGGTGCATAGCTAGATTTTTCAAGAAACTTTTAAGTACAGGGGTGCCACTCTAAAAAAATTTCAAGACTGAACTTATTTTTCGACCAAGTAATAACTATCTGGCGTTGTTTACCAAACTTTTAGAAATTAATAGCTCACAATTTGATTATTTTTCTAATTTTTTTCTTCTTTATTTTATGTTCTTTTTACCAAACAAACCGAAAATAACAGCTAACCTTGTATATTTTTTTGCTACTATTATTGAACAACCTGAAACCATTCATATCTCTATTCTTCACTTCACCGTTACATATTTTTTGTTCTGGCACTATAATTGCCTTTTTTTTTAAAAAAAATAATGATAATAATCTTGATTTAACTTTGGCCAGTATGACAATAAGTTAGGTTGGGGGAAGCAAATTCGAGCAGATTTAGATTCAGCAATAGTACAAATTTAATTACACAAGTAGATGGAGTTCAATCAATCCCATTTGTCAAGTTTTAAGAATAAGATTTAGTGAAGCTGACAAAAAGATAAATAAAAGTCCTGACATCATTACCATATCATATGTTTTCATTAAAATA